AGTATTAGAACAGATATAAATGCTAATGGACTGCTGCGCTTGTAAACATCCACGCTGCCACAAATCAACAGATGAGTACAAGATATTGATTTGTTACCACTGAAACACAAATGGACCAACTTAAAACAGTATTTATCTACAGCAACACCAATTGTGGAGCACAGGACCAGAAAGCTGCCCTGAAGAGTTATGAACATTAGGAATAACATCACTGCAGCCTTTCAGAATGCAAACAAGGAGTTTGAATTTAACAGGGAATTTCAGCTACTGTTGCCTGCCTCATTCAAATCTGCCTGGATTTAACCCCATGCCACGTTCTGAAAACTGACCCAACAACAAAATTAAACAGCCCAGTAATGGGTTGGCAGCACATTACCGGCAGGTCATTCTTAGGTCCCATTTTAACATTCCCATTAGCAATTTGAAAGAGGATGGGAGTGGCAAAGGCAAAGAAGCCAAATGACATTTGCAGAGGACACCAAACTGGGTGGTGCAGTAAACAAGGACAAATATAGAAAAACACACTGGGATTTTATATAAAGACCCAAGAACATTTCATACAGAGGAGAAAATGGAGCAGCACTGAGCATTCCTCCTGGATGTATTTGTTGACATAGCTGGTCTTCCTGAGCACTGACTCACACCTTGATAACAACTGATCTCAAACTGGTCTTTTACTTCAGAATGATACCACAAAAGCACAGGTCAGGGAAAACTACATGTAACCATGTAAAGCATCTGCTGAGCATGAAATGTTTTAGGGCAGGAACTGTGCTGCAAAAGTTGCTCAATAAAGACAGCAGAAAGCACAGTACCGACACAACAAGAAGCAATCTCAAAAACCTCAACACTACATAAATCTGCGTGTTGTAGGTGAAAACAAAAGCGTTTCTATAGCTAATGAATTAGCTGGGCTTGCTCCCTCAAAAGAAAAGAGGTTACCAAGTGTCATCGTACCAGAGGCACACATGAACGCATTTTATACACAATACTGCTTACACAAGCAAGTGTTCGACAACACACGATGAAAACCAGAAGGAGAAATAGAGAAGACAACACTTACTTCACCTTTCATTTGGCTAAGGCCGGAAAACAACAACAAAAACATTCATTACTTCAGCCCCCTAAAGCACCATGACCTTACCCTCCCGCCATGCCTGGAAACCCCGGCCTGTGCTGTTGTCCTGTGGGAGCAGCAGGAGGGAAGGGGCCGATGGAGAGGGAAGCCCAAAGCACCCAACGAGAGCCCGGTGTCCAGTAGCGCCCAAGGGTGGCAGGGCAGCTCCCCGGGACACGGAGCCGCTCTCCCTTCTCTCCCCCACCCCGGCCCCAACCCCAGCGCCGCGGGCTTGGCCCTCACCAGCCGCGGCCGGCCCGCGGAGCCCACCACGGCCACAGCGGCCTCCGCGCTCCACCCCGCCGCAAGGCCGCAGTCTCGGAGCTCCCGAACAAAGGCCCCGGAGGCGAGACCCGGCCCCGCTCCTCCCGCCGTGGCCCAGCTGCCCCGCGCGGGCAGGTGCCCGCCGCCTTCCAGGGCGCCGACGCGGGGACGGCCGCGCCCGCCCGCCCAGGGAGCAGCGGCGGCGGTGGGGCCCTGACCTGGAGTGGGGCCGAGCGCGTAGGCCCGGAGCCTACCTGCCGGGGAAGGGCCGGGGCCGGGCGGAGCGGGGCCAGGGCCGGGGCCGGGCCCGGAAGGAACGGCCCCAGTGCTCGGTCGTCGCCGCCGCTCCGAGCTCCGGCCAGGCGAGCCAGCCGAGCGCCGAGCCGGACCCGAAAAGCGGCGCCGAGAGCGGTACCAAGGCCCGAGCAGCTGAAGCTAGAACGCCGCCAGGCCGCGCCAGCCGAGCGACGAGCTCTTCCACCGCGGTGCGGCGAGGCGCAGGGGCTACGCTGCTTGCGGCCGCCGGAGGGAGACGGAGGGCAGGCGAGACGAGTCGATCCCGGAGCGCGGCGCGGGGTGGGTGTTATGGCTGGGCCTGGCCGGCCGCGCCGCAGTACCCAGGGGCTCCCACCGGGAGGAACGGGAGCTGGGATGGGAGTCGCGCTGTGCCGGGCACCAACTGCTGTGTGGCGGGCGAAACCTTTCGAGGGTGCTGGGCCGGGGACTGTGCCTGTACCTGGGACGGCGGGTGCCGGCCTGGTGCCCCGGGGTGGGAAGGCCGCAGGGGCAGGTAGCACCCCGGTGGTACGTAACACCCTGCGGAACGAGCTCCGTGCCTCGTGTCTTGGGGGTTCGCCCCCTCCAGACTGATACAGGGTGGGAAAACTGTGATTAAAAACAGGCAAGAAAAGAAATGGTGTTAGAGTGAAACACTGCCAGATACGGGTGTCAGATGAAACATAACTGGAAACCTTTTCTGAAATAGGACAGTGTTTATTTTTATATATATTGTGATATATATCCAACACTCTGCATGGTGAAGACACAAAATGTGTACACAGCCCCTTTGGGAGAGCAGCACCCTGCAATGAGGGGCCCTGCAAAGGCAGCAGCATCTTGCTTTCTCCTCAGTACTGTATTAAGGCTGAAAGAGTTGGGGTTGTTCAGTCTGGGAGAGGACTGGGGAGACCTTGCTCTGGCGTTTCAGTTCTTAAAAGGGACCTATAAGAAAGATTGATAAAACATTTTATCAAGGCCTCTTGTGACAGGATGAGGGGTGATAGTTTTAAATGAGAGGAGATTCGGGCTGGATGTGAGGGAAAAACTTTACAATGAGGGTGGTAAAACACTGGCACAGGTTGCCCACAGAGGTGGTGGTTGCACCATCCCTGGAGACATTCAAGGACAGGCTGGATGTGGTTCTAAGCAACCTGATCTGGTTGAAGATGTCTGTGCTCCTTGCAGGGGGGTTGAGCTAGAGAAGCTTTGAAGTTCCCTTCCAACCCAAACTATTCTACCATTCTATTGGAGAAGTGAGAGCTCGATAGGGGGGAAGAGACAGACTTGAAGGCTGAGAGGAAAATCTAAGCAACCCAGGGTGCTTGGTACCACTTAACCAGGAAAGGAAGAGTCAAAAGGCCCAGACAAGTTGGAATTTAGGGCTTGAGGTTTGCTGTACTTGGAAGGAGCAAAGGCAGCCTGCAGCATGGCAAGACAGTCTTAAAGGAGGTATCTTAAAGGGAAAATTGAAAAGGGCCGATGATGGGATTCCACAAGGAGTTTAGTCATGTAGTGAAAATGGCAATACCTTGGACAGTCAGTCACCATCATCCTCCAACAGATGACTGAGAATCAGCAGACATTATATAGTCAGGGTAAACTTTACAAAGCTCTGATAATGCACAGACTTGGAAGTATTCAAGAATGCATCTGGCAAGATGAGGCAAAGGTACAGGGGAGTGAGAAAGCAGGAAAGAAACGTGACTCTCAGCTGTGCAATTTAAATATTGTCTAAGCCCAGTGGAAAAGAGGAAGTCTAGGTGAATTGTTCTGAAGGAAGCTGCTTAGGAATATACAGGACAAACTGTCCTCCAGATGAGGAGGTTCCTTTTCCCAAGTGAACTGAAGGGTACTGACATCTGGCTAGAAGAAGAACAGTAGATTCATTTTGTCTGGTGTGGCCTGATGCAGTTTTTGCCCAAGTTGATAAGCAGTGGGATGAGTTTTGAAATTAAACTCCACCGAAGCTGACAGTGGCAGAAGGAAGACAAGACCCAGCAGCACGTGTTCCAGGAAGTGGCTCCACTTTCAGTTCACTCTGGTCCCAGCACACACTGAGACGAGCTATTCATAGCTTAAGTTGAGAAACTCCAGCTTGTTCCTACATGATGGTGTTTGTACCTACATGCATCCAAGTCTCACTTGACCTCTGCGTCACCCACGCAGCTCATTCAGTGTCTGCTGGTGTTTAGGTCTGAACATTGGTATTTTTAGCACAGACCATCAAATATAATTATGAGCCATCAGGCAACAACTCTTACCCTAAAAATGCTTTTTTTTCCTGTTAGAAAACAATGCTTGTGTGTTTCTTTCTAGGTAAAAGGAGCAGCATTTTTGCCACAGTAAGCAAGAGCAGCTCTTAGGTCATATCTAATGGATGGGTGTGTAAAAAAAATAGTTACATCTCAGTTTGCTGTATATTTTAAAGTTCTCATCAAGGCTTATGAAAGCATCTTGTTTAGACACCATAAAGCATGCTTGGTTTTCAGTAAGATAGCAAAACGCTCACTGCCATCACCTGGTAGGATAATCCTGCATCTCCATCCTACACTTGGTTGGGAATGTGTTCCATACTTCCTTATTCCTCAAACATGGGGCATGATCCAGGCACATTTCCTCTACAAGAAAAGACAGCCCTGCCGTGCCAGATGGTTGCACTGCTACTTTAAGTTGCTACCTTCCTGCAGCATCTGCATCCCCTACCACTTCGTTTCGTTTACTGCCCAGTAAACAATAAAATCTATGAAACCAAATTTTCTCTGACTGCTGTCAAGAGATCCCTGAAAACGCTTCCATCTTTTGGAAAGAGAACGTTGCCAGGAAATTTCCCAGTCCTGTGCCAACAGCAGCTGTGTGTGCTAGCCATCTTTTTCCACAGAATGGGTTGATTGCCAGCAGTGGAAGAGCTGCCTTTATGTACCTCAGCTCTGATCTAAACAAAGAACTTCTGCAATCAGTTCAATTCATGTGACCCAGCCAGTCCTTGGCATTTCTTTTACAGCAGCCAACAAGGTGAGTGGTTTTCTGTTGTGGCAGACATATCTAGCAATAACTAGAGTTACATTCAGTAGCCCACGTCCTGATATGTGCTCAGTAACCAACAGAGTCAACCACAGCTTCACATCTTCTCCAGTCTGTTTGGTTAAAAGAAACCTTCAGTCCTTCTTAACCTTCTAGGTACGAGCAAGCACTAGTGTGTACCAGGCAAAAAGGCAAACCCCTCACAGAACACAGACACTGCTTTCAGAGGAGTTGCTGGGTTTTGGGAGATGTGCAGAACTGCAAAATGGTATTTAGCAAGAATTTCTACCTGCAAACAAAAAGTTTGTTCTGCTGCTCATGAATTCATGGTAGGCATGAGCCCACATGGAAGTTTAATTTGTGTGAAATACCATTTAAAAAACAATCAGAACTGGTTTAAGTTAGAAAGTGGCATAGAATTGTTGCTTTGTAAAACAGTGCAAGGGTAACTAGAGTTTTCATCATTACCAAAGACAATTTCCCAAGTTTCTTCACTCATCCCACATTAGTTATTGTTCTCTAAGTCAGGTGAAAGGGGGGAATTTAAACATCACAACAGTAAAAACTCAGCGATTGAGCTGCATCTCTGGAGAGGTTGAGAGAAGTTCAGAAAACCGCCTGAAATGAAGAGAGTAATATTTCTCCTTGTCTCAGATCTGCTTAGTGTTTACAGACTTCAAGAAGAGGAAGGGGCATGTTTGCTCTGTGTATCTTCCCAGATGAACTGTTAGAAGCCTTCTCCCCATCACAACGTTAGCTAAAGTGAGTAAGTAGAAGCTCCTGACGAATACGACAGGCTTCCGAGTCCATGGATTCCATTTGCTCGTACTCTTCTTCCGGCTGTTCCATGTGTCCTGTGGCCGGTGAAGACCACACGTCCAGACCATGTTCCAGGGAGATGTTATGAAGCACACAGCAAGCCAGAATGATGTGGCTGGATTTCTCTGGAGAATACTGCAGGGTGCCTTTGGAACCATCCAGGCAGCGGAAACGTGACCGAATGGTTCTGAACGTCCGCTCAATGACATTATGAGTGGCAGAATGGGCCATGTTGTAACGGTACTCGGCAGGCGTCTCAGGGATATGCAGGGGAGTCATCAACCATGTTCGGAGAAAGAAGGAGCTGTCACCTGTTGGCAGTGAAAAGGAGGACAGGTTACACACCTGTAGTTAACCACAGGTTTCACCTCTTACCTCTTGTTTTTCTGGTACTGCTGGTACAGAATAACTTCGTTCCTTGGCTAGAACAGGAGGCATGAGAAGGCATGGAAGAGCAACAATAACACAGGTTTACAAATGTAACAACATAGAGATTCAGTTTTACACAGGGAAATCCTGGAAGAACACAGAGGAGTTTTAAGAGAGTTAATTTACTACCTAAGGCAGTGAGAGACAGCTGGACTAGGACCCTGCATAGACTTAAAAATGGCATAATTCAGCTTAGAAAGGTGTAGGATACTGAAAACACGCTCTTAACAGAATGACTGTAAACTAACACATGCAAGAATCAGCCTGTATAAAACACAGATGGGAAGTTACTGCTCTAGACTTCTAAGAGAAGGACTGTCATGAATCTCAAGGTATTTGCAGAGTAGCAATCAAAAGTAAACATACCACTTGTGCCCAGAGGCTCTAGGCTCAATAAGGAGGTGGTATATAATAGACTTTCCACAGAAACCAGTAGAAAATAGACTTACCAAGAAGCCAGCCATCTTTATGTAGCTCAGTTTCAAACTGCCTTGTCAGGGCTGCCTGCTGTAACACAGTGCAGTCAGGCAGGCTGCCAGGCCAGTGTGTTTCGGCACTCAGGAGAACTCCTCTGGCATCACACACCATCAGGCAGTTCAGAGAATGGAGACCCTTTCTGTTCACATAGGACAGGTCCTCAGCATTTGGTGCTTTGATTGCCACGTGGGTGCAGTCAACCACCCCCAGCACTCCCGGCATGCCTGCCAGCCCATAGAAGTCATCCTTCAGGCGCTGTACGGTAGCTTCATCCTCGGGAAAGTGAATGAACTGTGAGGCTCTTTCCACCAATGCCTCAGTTACGTTGGCAACGCAGCGGCTCATGGAGGCTTGACTAATGCCTATAGCATCTCCCATGCGAGTCTGGAAGGAGCCAGAGGTATAGAAACCCAGTGCAGCAAGGATCTGTGTCTCTGGACTGATGGCCCTGGACCGCTGTGTAGGGCGAGAGAGACTGGCTCCCAGGAGATCCACCAGGTAGTAAATGAACTGTCGGGGAAAGCCGTATGTGGATACTAGATACTCATCTGTGACATCCTCCAGCTTGAAGCGATCCAAAGTCCTGTGTCCGCGGCCGTACAGCAAGAGGTCGCAGTCAAGAACTGCAATAGGTACGGCCATGGCCGAGGGGGTCCTCTGAGGGCTCCCCTGTTACAGCACCTCCCCAGAGCCTTCACCTGCCTAAGGCAAGGGGGAAGAAGACCCAGGGTAAAAACCGGTTAGCCTTTCAGGCTGTTACCATATTCCTTTTACTAGGGATATCCATCAAATCTTTTACTTCCATCTGCTTTTAAAACCAAGGGGTGGAAGCGGGGGGGGGGGCTCACTGACGGCTCTTCAGCCTTGCCTGGCTCCCATGAAGGGGAGGAACCGTCCCCAGCCACCGCCGACCCGGCCGCGTTCAGCCCCGAACGGCCGGGACGCGAACGCCCGGTACCCGTGTGCGTCCCCCAAGCCCGCCGGGCGCCCCTGCGCGATGAGGGGCAGCGGAGCGAACCCCGAACCCCGCCGGCCGCCAACCCGGCCCTTACCGGCCGCTTGCAGCGCTCCCAGCCCCGAGGAGGCCCGCAGCCCGCTACGGCAGATTCGCCACAGCGCGGGGCTCCCGGCTGTGGGATCCCCTGTGATCCCGGCCCTGGCTGCCCGCTCCGCCGGCCCGGTGCTGTGCGGCTCGGCTGTGCGGGAGCGGCAGCGGCAGCGGCTGCGGCTCGGTGTGGAAAGTGCGGCCGCGGACACGCAGACATATTCCTCCTCCCCTCCCCTCGCCTCCCGCAGCAGATGAAAACAAACAGCGGCGGCGATGGCGGCGCGGAGCAGGCCGCGGCTCTGAGGGCAGCGGCAGCCCGAGCCCCGGCCCCGCGTTCCCGCAGGCGCTGACACCCGCGGCGAGCCCCCCGCCGTGCCGGCACCGAGGAGGAGGAGAGGCGCTGTCCAGAGCCCAGTGGCCGCGGGGCCCCTGGTGCCTGGAGGCGCCGGTATCGGGCCCAGGGCCGCAGGTATCCCCCCCCGTGCCCAGGCGGGGCGCTGAGGAGACGCCGGGGCACGGCGGGGGAGCGGCGCGGGCAGCCGGGCCTCCGCGCGGGATGAGCCCCCGCGCAGCCAGCACTGCCGCGCCCCCGCAGGTACCGGCTTGGGACGGGACTGGGGTCCCGGGCTGGGGAGGGCGAGCTCCGAGGGGTAGGGAGGGAGGGGGGTACCGGGTCGTGGTACCTTTGGCTGAGGCTTCGTGTCTCCACTCGCTACTCGCAGGGGTCCGGGTTTGCTGCAGCCGTGTCGGTGCCCGACAAAGCCCGACCCAGCGGTGGCCAGGCTTCGTTTTCTGGACGGCTGGTGGGAAGGATGTGGCTTGCTGAAACCTCTGCAAGTGGTGTCTTTTAAAACCAGAATGCTTTCAGAGTCAATTAGAAACAGTAAAACCTCAGAGCCATTGTATAGTTTTCCTGTAGTGTGTGTATTGCTGCTTGTTAGAAAAGATTAGGGGGTTGCAGATCAGCACATCTTTCTGTCCTGTCACAGCTGTGGTTCTTAGGGCACTGCCAGAGTCATCCCCACTGATTCAGTAGGAGCAGAAACATCTTCATGTCAGTGAACAGGCAGAAAAAGGACATTGTGGGTTCAACCTACAAACTGCCTTCTTACAAATCTCAGAAGTGGTGTGGCTAGGCACAATGTAGAGTGAAAAACATGGTCAGTTACTGCCTGGGCTGAAAATTAGTTACCTATGTAAGTGATGTTTAGAGCATTTCCAGATGACTGCTGGAGTGGCCTGACCTGGTAGAACCCTCCTTCTTCTGGCAAGAAATAAGTCATTCAAATGAGCCAGGCTGTGTTTAGACATCTGGAAGGATCACACAGGATCACCTTACTTTGCTTAAATGATAATGTATAACCTCAACTTTTATGAACATGTATTCACACTAAAGTTGAGACCTGGTGATTATATTGGTGGTTGTAGTACAGTGTATGTATGTGGAAGCACATTCTAGGTTAGTCTGCATACTTTGGCCCAACAAACAAAATGAGAGGATGGACCTTTGGACTGGCACCTTTTTTAGACCTGAGGGAAGTACAGAATGTAACTGCCGGTAAACAGGAATTGCTTCATTTTGTTTTTAGGCCAGTGAAGCTGGCAGTGCTGGTATTTCCTAAGCTGGGAAGTAATTTATCAGTTAGAAATCAGTTAGAAAGTAAATCTGTTCCCTGATCAGCAGGAAAAGTTGCCTCTATCAATACTTACATAGTAAACAACAGAGCCTTTCAATCAGAGTATTTATATTATGTGAAACAGTTTTTCTGCTGGAATCTACTCGTCTCTTAAAAAATCCAGAAACTTTAAGAGTAGCACACCTTCAAATTTAGAACTGTTCCCTCCTCCTCCCTCTCCCCAGGTTTCTGACTAGCCGACTAAGAAGGCAAAATGGAGATTAATTGTAGGATACTGGAGGCTGACTTGTAGGCTCAACTTTGAATCAGAGTGCCGCCTTTACGGAGATCTTTTTATAGTTGCTTATTAATGTGCTCAAAATACCTGCTTGTCATCAAAGGGGATGTTCTAGGAAAACTTGCTTGGCAGTCAAGCCTGTTTACCAAAGGCGCTCTGTTAGAAGCTTCAAGAACTTCCATGTACTTCTCATTTACCTGCATGATTTGACGAGGCTTTTCTGGAGCTTCACATAGGAGATCCTTGGAGATTGGATCTGAGTCCTGTGTTAATAAAGAGGTTCTAGAGGAGTCGTAGGGACCAGGAGCCTTTTTTGGGAGCACAGTCAGGTAACCAGAAATGTAGAGCTGGGATGAGGGCTGTCCATAGCCCTGTCCTTACAGTGACAACCTTTCTTGTTTCTTCCTTCTGGTCATTTTAATTTCATTCTGGGATAGGAACCATGAGTAATTATTTGGCATTGGTAAGTATCTGTTTAAAAGGAAAGCACAATGACTTTAAGTTTTAGCAGCCATTGCTCAAGAGTGAAATCTCAGAGGAGGGAAATGATGGAAACAGCCTGTATATACTTTCCCCAGCAGTGACAATGATGCCTGGTATGTGTCAGGTGCTTCTGCTCCTTTCCTGTTTAAGTATGTGAGTGTCAGACACACACTAAACTCCCACGTATGAAACACGAACTGTAAGTGTTCTGTGCTCCTCTGGTGTGCTGGGTTACAGGCTGCTGCTGCGTGGCATGCTGGTTGCTGTAGTTTCTCTGGGCTGCACCAAGGGGAGGGCTCTTGCAGTTCATTGCATCATGCAAACAGTGTATCGTCACCTTATGCTGACGTGTCATTCTCCTTAGGGTAGGAGAGTATAAATCCCTGTAGAGTGTATTAGGCACAGTGCTTAGGTGTTAAACTGTTGGTTAAGTATTCTTCTCTGCCTCTTACCCTTGTAAGAAAGAGTAAGGCTTTAGTCAAAGAGCCACACATGGCAGTTCTCCTTTAAACATCTCTCTGATGTTTCTGTTCAGAGGAAGGTGGAAGCAAAGGCATATTAAAACATGAAAATGGGTGTTGCAGGAGGAGGGAAACAAAGCAAAAAGCCACGTGGCCGAGATGCTTTTATTTACCTGTGAACAGCCACTGTGTACGGCTAAAGCAGTGAGGTATCAGTTTACTTGAGGGAGTACTCGGTTGAGGGGGAATCAATCATCTGTGGGTTTCTAACCTAGACCAAAGGTTACTTCCTTCTAGTGGTTATGCAGTGTAAAATTAGACAGCATCTTGCTTGAGCTAAGCATGTGCACAGGTACTGGCACTTAACAAGGAGCTGTGCTGGTGTTGCAAGCTACAGGACCTGAGAAGTTGTATGAGTTTAGTGGAACTAAGTTTAAAGGATTTCCTTCTTGTTTAGGTCAGCTGGTGGCAGCTAACCTGAGGGTACTGAGGCATTTTTGTAAATCAGATGTTTGCTGTAATTCTAGGCCTGTCCTGGCTCTTTGCAATGAATGAGTCTAAAGGTGAGCTCTGTCCTAAGCCTTAGCAGATCTCAGGGAATCACTAGAGCCCTCCTGAAAAATGAGAGATGGTGCTGGTCAGATAATGACCCTTAGACTTGTCGGGAGCCGAGTTCCAAGGTCCCAGTTTGCCCCTGAAATTACAGATTCCTCACAGGAATCCTTGCCTGATACTTTCTGCTCTGCTTTAGGCTCTGGTGAGTCAACTATTGCTGGCATTCGGCATATGAATGCTTTATGAAAGCTTTATGAATTGAGGTCTTGCAGGAAGAATTTCAATTCTGCTGCAGCAGGACAGAAGTATGAAGCTCTCATTCTTTGAACACTGAATTTAAGACGTGGCTCTGGTGGCTCTTTCTCTCCTCTCCAGAGATATTTGCATATGCTGTCACTAGAACTAATTCCTACACTGCACAGAGAACTGTGTTGATGGTCTGCTTTGTTTCCTTTCCTAACCATGAGTCTAACATCTTCTATTAGTTCCTGAGTATCTTGTAACAGTTGATACTAGCATTCCTTTCCAGCCCCACAAGGCAAATAAATGTGGGTGCTTTAGTTGACAGCTCTCCTTACATCAGGATATATACTTCCTTGCACCATTCTCCAGGGGTCTTATAGAAATGGCTTCTCACTTCTTTTCACATTAAAAGCTAATTTAATTTCTCTTGGTATTTAAATGTCAGCATTCTTCTTGCTGAGAAAAAGATGTGTTTCTTTTTTTTTTAATGGGATATTTTATTGCCTCTGTCAGCCAGGTTTTGTTGTAGATCTCAGGTCCTCTCAATGCTTACAGTGCTTTACTTAGTTAAGGCAAAAGAATAGTAACAGGTCATAGAATCACAGAATCATAGAATAGTTAGGGTTGGAAAGGACCTTAAGATCATCCAGTTCCAACCCCCCTGCCATGGGCAGGGACACCTCACGCTAAATCATATCACCCAAGGCCTCGTCCAGCCTGGTCTTGAACACTGCCAGGGATGGAGCATTCACAACCTCCCTGGGCAACCCATTCCAGTGCCTCACCACCCTAACAGTAAAGAATTTCCTCCTTATATCCAATCTAAACTTCCCCTGTTTAAGTTTTAACCGTTACCCCTTCATTCTCACCTTTTTTTTTTTTTTTGTAGTGGGAAATGTTTATACTAAAACCTTATTTCTTTTAAGTTAGAGTGCTGCATCAGTGAAACATCTAATGCTTTTAAGTGCTGATTTCTGTCTGTCCCCCCCAGTAGAAAAGATCTGTGATCTCTAGTAGTGGTAAAGGCAGGGAAAGAAAATATAATACTTTTGATGAGGAGGTTACAAAGAATAATCTGGTCATGCATCTGAAGTTGAATCACGTGTCTTGTTAGTTCTCAAATTAAATTACAATTTGCGTTATAGATTATTATAAGGTTATTATAAGATGCAGTATGACTGTAACCTGGGTACTTTCAACGATATTAGATGTCCAGCTTTCTTTTTATGAAGTAATTCAGAAAGTATTGCTGTTTTCTATAAAATGCTCTATAAATTGCAGTACTCTTACTTAGCAGCCCTTCTTGGATGATGCTCCTAAAGCACTACTTCAAATAGGCATTTATTGCTATTAAGTGAGATATCTTAAATAGAA